TTAATGTAATAAAAATATGCACAAAACACTTAACAACAATTATAATAACTAATGTTAATTCCTGAATAATTCTTACCTGATATGCTTTAAAAAATGAGAATGCTAGCAGTCAGTTCTATTCATCAGTGTACTAGAGTTGATAGTGAAATTGGGCAAGAAAATGCAATAGAGGGTTTTAAAAAAAATTTATTTCTCATATTTAGAGATGGCATAAAAGTATGCATAGAATATCTAAGAGGATGTACACATAAAATATTAAACAATAAGTTAATTTAACATGGATACTTGGAGAGAGGTCTAAATAATTTAACATGTCATATATTGGCAAAAATTATAGGAACATGCACATGCACACTCTCTCTCACAGAAAAATATAAAAGTTGAAAAGCCCTTGTGTTTTGAGACTGAAAATCTATTTCTAAAAGTCACTGATCTAGAGGTCATAGTTAAAATCATAAATAAATTAATGTTTTCCAAGGTAAGGACACTTAGAGGAAAATCATTACATTCAAGAAACCATCTTTGAGATATGGTGATTTAGGAGAGGAAGGAGAATAGAAAGAGCAAAGAAAGCAGAGGAAAGGACAAGAATAATATGAAAAGACCATTGGCAAGACATCAAATGGCAGGGGAATGTCAGAATTTTCCAGAAGTTTAAAGTTTTAACTCAATTGATTTAAAAGGAAATATGAAACTTGAGTTTATATAACTAAAATATCCAGAAGTAGGCCATTCTCCAGGTATAGTTTGATTTGGCTTTTTCCTCTGTCAATTTATCATTCTGTTTTATTTGTTAGCTTTATTCCTAGGTCACAAATACCTATGGAACAAAGTTCTTCACAATTTTGAGTTTTGAAAATGGCATACAATCCAGACAAAAAGAGAGCTCTTTCTTTCCCAACCACCAAATATAATCTGTAGTCTTCAGTTGGAATGAACCAGATTAGGTCGCACACACATTGTGAACCAATTATTTCAACTAAGCAAGCCCTCATCTAGGTCAATTTACCCCCTAATTTGTCAGTATCTGAAGACACATTTGATTGTCAAAACTTGGAAGGTACTACTGTAATCTGATGAGTAGAGATGCTGCTAAAAACTCTGCAGTGCATAGGACAACCTTCTGTAACAAATAATTATCTGGCCCAAAAGTCAATAGTGCAAAGGTTGAGAAATATTTAGACAAAGGGTTTGCAAGCTTAAATGTGTATCTAGTTTCCATTTTTTAATTATTTTATTTAATAGTGTGGAGCCTAAAAATGTTGGGTTTTTTTTTTAACAAGCTCACAGGTACTACTGTTGATGGTGACTCACTGTGTACACTCCAGGAAACACAGATTAATTGAGACCCTAGGTTTTCAGAGAGAGTGTTGTCAAGCATAGAAAAACATACCTACTTTACAAGATAATGTGTGATTTAATGCATTCTGGAGAAGTAACCCACCCACCATTCTAATGAACACAAGAGAAACTATATTTTTGGCAATTTTCTACCTTTCCCAAGTCCTAAAGTTAATATTATCCTAAAATTTCCAAGCGGGGAAACTACTTTTAGTACCCCTACCTTCTCCAAAATTCTCTTTGCTGTGACTTTTATTAAGTTCTATAAAAAAATTTTACTCAGATTCTCTCCACATCTTTCCTGCTGCCGTCTTAATCAAATGAATTTGGGTTTTTTAAATGGTGTTTCTAGAAATGTATGGAATAATAAAAATATAAATAAAGGTAAATGTAAATCAAACTGAATTGATGCACCACAGATCTCAAAGTCCCCGAAGGCAAGAAAGCCCCACTGATTTCTACTGGAATATTTAACAACCCCTTTGAACAATTATCCCTCACATATGCTGCCTCTCATTCACTCTCAGTGAAAAATGAGAAACAGGATCCTACTTTAATGAATCTTTGTAGGTAAATTCTAGTTATACAATGGGCACAAATGGGTTCAGAGAGGTTTAAGAAAGAAACAATTATAACATAATAAATCTTTGCTATGTGAGAAATATTTTAATAAGAGGAAAATCTAGAATATGAACTAAAAAGAATAAAAGGAGAAAAGATGATTTTGAGGAAGGACCATTAAAATGGCAGTTATGAGTTCCAGCCAAGATTGAGGCGTAGGTGGAAACCCTCCACTTCCTCACCAGTGAGCAGAAAAGACCCGAGGCAAGGCTGCCAACCATGTGGATGGATCCAACTAAAAGGACCCACAGCTAGGTGTGGGCCACCCCAGAAGAGCTAATTGAACAGGAAACTGAGACTCAGAACTGACTGTGGACTACTGTGGGGTTGCCACAGTGGGAGAAACTCCCAGTCACACATGAGAGTTCATTGGGAAGTGGGGCTAGAGCCAAGCAAGCAAGCTGAATTGTTCTCTCTCTGACACCTCCCCCACAGGCAGCACCACAGCACAGCAATGAGGGTTGCCCTGCCCTGGTGAACTCTTATGGTCCTACCCCCTTGCAATTTAACAGGTGCACAGGGACAAAAAAAATATGGCCCAGATGAAAGAACAGAGCAAAACCTCAAAAGAAGAACTAAGTGATGAGGAGACAGCCAATCTATCTGATGGAGAATTCAAAACCCTAATAATCAAAAATGCTCACAGAACTGATTGAGCTTGATCAAAAAATGAAAGAACAAATAAAGGATACCCAAAGTGAAATAAAGCAAAATGTTCAGGGAACCAACAGTGACAAGAAGGAAACCAGGACTCAAATCAATGATTGGAAGCAAAAGAAAGAAATAAACATCTAACTGGAATAGAATAAACAAATAAGAATTCAAAAAAAATTAAGAGAGACTTAGGAATCTCTGGGACAATTTTAAACATTCCAATATCTGAAATATAGGGATGCCAGAAGGAGGACAACAACAAGAAATTGAAAATTTATTTGAACAAATAATAAAAGATAACTTCCCCAATCTGGCAAAGGAAATAGACTTCCAGGTAGTCCAGGAAGCCCAGAGAGTCCCAAAAAAGTTGGACCCAAGGAGGAACACACCAAGGCACATGATCATTATGTTACCCAAGGTTAAAGATAAAGAGAGAATCTTAAAAGCAGCAAGAGGAAAGGAGAGAGTTACTTACAAAGGAGTGCCCATAAGTCTATCAGCTGATTTCTCAAAAGAAACCTTTCAGTCAAGAAGGGGCTGGAAAGAAGTATTCAAAGCCATGAAAGGAAAGGACCTACATCTGAAATTACTCTATCCAGCAAAGCTTTCATTTAGAATGGAAGGGCAGATAAAGTGATGCCTAGATAAGGTCAAGTTAAAGGAGTTCACCATCAACAAGCCCTTATTATATGAAATGTTAAAGAGACTTATGTAAGGAATAGAAGAATATCAAAAACTATGAACAGTGAAATAACAATGAACTCACAACTATCAACAACTGAACCTAAAAAAGAAAAACAGTGAAAATAAAAACCAAGCAAACAACTAGAACTGGAACAAAATCAGAGAAATGGACATAACATGGAGGGTTTTCAGCGGGTGAGGGGGATGGGAGAAATAAGGGGAGAAGGTACAGAGAATAAGATGCATAATTGATAGGCATAAAATAGAAGGGGAGAGGTTAAGAATGGCATAGGAAATGGAAAATTCAAATAACTTTTATGTACAAACCATGGACATGGACTTAGGGTGGTGGATGCTGGAAGGCTGGGGGTACAGCACAGAGTGGGGATAAAGGAAGGAAAATTGGGAGAACTGTAATAGCATGATCAATAAAACATACTTTAAAAATAAATTAAATGGTAGTTATATCAACTCAGATAATTTTTACTGAACAAATACATATGCAAAATAAAGATCCTGCCAGGGATCCATCTAAGGCAAGACTTTTTTCAAGGAAGTTACAAGTAGAAAAGAAAAAAAACAAATATAAATGCAACTTAAGGGTACAGAGTAAAATGGACATTTGCATTATACAAGATAAGGGAGGGTTACTTCTACTGTAGCACTAGGGAAAGTTTCCGGGAGAAAGAAGCATCACGAATAGTCCTTGAGAGTTAGAAAGTCATTCAGGCAGAGAAGGAGAAATTACATTAAAAGTGATCACCACCTCTGCAAATGCAGTTATCTCAGCATAATTGTAATTAGCTTACTCTGACAAATGATATTTCAGCACAAGCAGAAAAAAATATTTTTAAACAGTAAGCCAAAGGGATGTCACATTAAATTGGATACAGATGCTCCTTGGCCTACAGTAGGGTTACATACAAAAAAAATCCATTTTATGGAATACTACTTGGCCATCAGAAGAAGAAAAAAATTTTTTAATATTAAATTTTATTTAGTTACTTTTCAAGTACATTTTTTTATCTATTTCTCCCATCCCACCCCACCCCCCTGCCCGGTCCCCCCCTCCCTCCCATCCCCCCCCCCAGTCCCCATCTCTGTAGCTTTCATACTTATTCCTCAAAATCCCTCCCCCTTTTTCCCCTTAAGTTCCCTTCCCTCTCCCCTCTGGTCGCTGCCCACTTGTTCTCTATTTCAGTGTCTTTGTTTTTATTCTGTTTGCTTGTTTGTTTTATTCTTTAGCTTCCTGTCAAAGGTGAGATCATATGGTATTTGTCTTTCAAACCCTGGCCTATTTCACTCAGCATAATGCTTTCCAGTTACCTTTGCAACAGCATGAATGGACCTGGAGAATATTATGCTAGCTGAAATAAGCCAGTCAGAGAAAGACGAATAACATAGGATGTCACTCATGTGAAATCTAATGAGTAAATTGAACTGACAGACTCATAGATAGAGAGCAAGTTGACACCTCTATGAGGGGGTGGAGAAGGTGGGGGGATCAAGCAAAAAAGAAAAAGGACTCTGGACAAAGACAACGATGTGGTGATTGCAGAAAGTGGTGGAGGTGGGCGAGGGTATTAGGGGAATAACTGGAAATGCAAAATAAAATAAAATAAAATAAAATAAAATAAAATAAAATAAAATAAAATAAAATAAAATAAAATAAAATATTAAAAAATATTAAAAAATTTAAAAATCCATTGTAAATCACAAATGTGTTTGTCAGCCCTGGCTGATATAGCTCAGTGGATTGAACTCGGTCCTGCAAACCAAAGGGTCACAGGTTTGATTCCCAATCAGGGCACATGCCTGGGTTGCCAGCTGGGTCCCCAGTAGGGGGTGTGCAAGAGGCAACCACACACTGATGTTTCCCTCTCTCCCATTTTATCTGAAAATAAATAAGTACAATCTTAAAACAAAAAGAAAACACATTTGTCAAAAATGCAATTAATACAGCTAACCTACTGAATATCACAGCTTAGCCTAGCCCACCCTGAATGTACTCAGAACATTTATACTGGCTTATACTTGGGTAAAATCATTTAACATACTATAGACTATTGGTTGTTTATCCTCATGATCTTGTGGTTGACTGGGAGCTAGGCTTGCTGCCAGTGCCCAACAATAGGAGGATTATCATACTGCATATTTGTAGCCCAGAAAAAAAATCAAAATTCTTGTACCATTTCTACTGAATGTGTTTTGTTTTCACAATATTATAAAATTAAAAAAATGTAAGTCAGCGACCATTTGTACTTTATTTATTCTGAGATACAGTGTTTCTCACATCTCACATCTATGAAATGGGTGAAAGCTATTGTTGACACCATCTTATAATAAATTCACAGTTGTTAATTATTTTTCTGCTGTATATAAATTTTGACATATCTCAAAATTTATGGGAACTCTGAATAGATCAAATATGATTATTTGATTAAATATGATGAGATTGACTTCTGGGTTGACAATTGAGTTTCTGGTCTTCTGAGAACTTATTCCAAATGAGAAAGGAGACATGATAAAATCTCACGGGATATTTTGATATGACCTGTTAAAAACACATGCAATTTTAGCTCTATATAAGAGATGATTGTACACCCACTTTATATCAGCATTAATAACAATGACCAAAAGGTGGAATCCACAAAAGTTTATTGACAGGTAAATGGGTAAACTAACACATTATATAAATACAATTAAATATTATTTAGCCTTCCTTTAAAAGAAAATAAATTCTGAAACATGCTAAAACATGGATGAATCATGAATACATTATTCTAAATGAAATAACTCAGTCATAAAAAGAAAAATATTTATGATTTCATTTATATGAGGCATTTAGAGTAGTCAAATTTATATAGACAAAAAATTGAATATTGATTGTCTAGACCTAGATGACCAGAAAATGACAAGATGTTGTATAATGGGTAGGGAGTTTTAGTTTCTTCAAATAAGAAGAGTTGTAGAGATAGGTTGCACAAAAATTGGAGTGTAATTAGTACTACTAAGCTATGCATTTAAAATGACTAAGATAATGTTTTATGTCACCACAATTAAAAATGAATTTATATAGAAAATGGAAATTGGAGAGAGTACAAAACATCTCATGGAAATATTGAGTCTAAAGTGATGTAAATATATTAAAGTGGTATAAAAGAGTAAGAGGTAGATAGAAAAAGAAAGATTTTTAAAAACTTACCTGTGTCTCAGAAACCATAATGCAAGACATATTAAAAGAATCAAGGTAGGCAATATCACTGCCAAAAGTATCACACTAGTAGAGGTAGGATATCCTGGCAATTGAGAGAAGACACAAAAATGTCATTTTAAAACATTATCCTAAGAACCCTGAAACACCAATCCAAAAGAACCTATGCACCCCAATGTTCATAGCAGCACAATTTACATAGCCAAGAGTTGGAAGCAACCTAGGTGTTCATCAGTAAATAAATGGATCCAAAAACTATGGTACATTTATACAATGGAATTCTATGCAGCAGAAAGAAAGGAGGAGCTACTACTTTTTTGGGACAGCATGGATGGAACTGGAGAGCATCATGCTAAGTGAAATAAGCCAGGTGGTGAAAGACAAATGCCATATGATCTCACCTTTAACAGGAACCTAGTAATCAAAATTAACAAGCAAACAAAGTATAACCACAGACACTGTAATTGAGAACAGGCTAACAGTGACCAAAGGAGAGAGGGGAGGGGATAGTGGGGGAAAAGGGTGAAGGGTTTACAGGAATAATGATGAAGGACACATGGACAAAAACTAAGGGGGGTGTAAATGGGAGGGAGGTGGGGAGCACTGTGGGGGAGGGCTGGGAAGGGAGTAAAAGTCAGAAAACTGTACTTGAACAACAATTAAATAAATGAATTAAAAATAAACAAACAAACAAACAGCAACAACAACAAAAGAAAAGATTTTCTCTGCGGCTGTCTCTCCCTGGAGCACACTCATACCTTTTACCCTCTCCAAATTCCTTTCTTTTTCCTAAGCTTCAAGTGCCCTTCTTTTACTTCTGTAACCTGTTTCCTGAGCCCACACAGCTCAGCTGGCACATCTTTTCTGACTTTGTGAGTTTCTAAATAAACTTTCTTTTATTATTTGAAAAAAATTCTGATTCTCTTGGCCTTTCTTTGCTCACCTGAGTTCTACCACCATCATTCACTGGCTTCTGATATATGTGCATATCCAACTCCCTCTTTCATATTTTCTAACACAATATATCTATATCTATATCTTGTATCTCTTCTTGCCCCACTTCACACAATATATAATCCATAATGTTTACCTCTTTTATACCTTAGGTCAGTGATATTCAATCTTTTTCATCTCATGGAACACATAACCTTATTACTAAAATTCTGCAGTAGCCATAAAAATGTATTACTTGACAATCTGACAAAAAATTAATTTGATTCACTTACACTGGACAACTGTTTTTGTGTGGGCTGTTGTTATTTTTTCATTTGACACTCAAAGGGGAAAGAGGTCAGTGCCCCTGATTAAATACTCAGGTATTTCATGTTTTAAAAATTCTTGTGGCACACAGGTGTGCCTCTTTCAGCACACAGATTGAAAAAAATCACTGGCTTAGGTCATCTCTCCATTTTTCTGTTTCACTTTTTTCTCCTTCTTTTCTTCCTCCATTATTGTTTCTCTCATTCATTAACCCTAACCATTTTGTTAGCCCTTCCCTCTATGTGTGAGCACCATCTCCTCTTATTTCCAGATAGATCAAATGCTTTCTCACCCCAGTAGAGGATGATGTCCTGGCCTCCTAGACTGCTGTGCTTTACCCGGCAATTCAGGTTAGCCGTCTCCCCAGCCACAACATCAAGAGTTACTCGGATATACCATGTCCCATCAGCATTGGGCAGGATGTCACCTTGATGAGTTCCTGGCTGCTCCTGCTCACCCTTCATCCACATCACCCATGCAGGTTTGGGGTAAAATCCTGAGACATGGCACACAAGCAACAGACGTCCGGGACCAGGAGTGGGACCACTGGAAAGCCAAGCTTTAGGCTTCACTGGGGCAGGAAAAAACAAGGACGGAATAACATTATGACTTTAACCTAGAGCATAGGGACTCAGAAACCCACAAGTTTGGAAAGTAACCCCTTGTACTCCTTTGGAAACCAAATAATTTATTGATTAACCACCTCTATGCTTAGGTATCTCTTATTCTTGAATTTAAAGAGGTGGCAGGAAGTAAAATAGAAAAGTCTTGGAGAACAAAACTAACCTTGTCTCTGCAGTTCTGCCTTCCCTGCATCGAGGACACCCAATAGATATCGAGGACAGGTTTTAAAGAGGAGCTTCTCAATGATATCAGCGATACCTTGGTATTGAATGAAAATTGTACAGAACCGCTGTGCTCTGTTGCCACCCTCTGCAGCGGGTACACATGAATTATTCTTGAGACTTAGAAAATCTAATCCTCCTAAAGCTCCCCTCAAGAAGCTTACTGTGGCCTCTCCAGAATGCAGCTCACAGCCTGCTATGCCCTGGATCTCAAAGGGATCTAGATAAAAGAAAAACAGAGAAAAACATATTGAAAAGAACTAGAAAGAAAGGGATGGAGAAAAGATCTAGAAATTTACATTTTGGTGGGGAGAAAGGTCTGAGATGTAAAATTATAAGCCAATAACCAATTCAGTACAATCATGTGCCAGAGAACAACTTTTCAATAAATAACAAACCACATATATGACAGTAGTAATAAGATTATAATGGAGCTGCAAAATTTCTATTGCCTAATGATGTCATAACCATCATAACCTCATAGCACAATGCATTACTTATGCATTTGTGGAGATGTTGGTATAGACCTACTGTGTTGCAGTTGTAAAAAAAGCATAGGGATACAATATGCAAATTACATAATACTTGTTAATAATAATAAATGGTTACTCATTTATGTATTTATTATAATTTTTATTGTAATTTCAGGGTGTACTCTTTCTCATTATAAAAAATAAGTTTGCTGTAAGCCATGTTATACCAGCAGCAGCCATGTTATGCCAGCAGCAGCCTCACTTCTAATAAAGACGGAAAGAAAAATCTTGGGTATAGTAGCCTGAACTGAGAGAAAAATAATCATTAATAGTCTCCCCAGATCAGAAGACTACACTCACATGTCAACTGGAATTCACTGACATGATCCTGTACCACCCGAATGAATCCAATAAGATAGACTCGAAATAGCTCCACAAGTTCAGTCACCTCCTCTTCACTGAAGTTGCCCTTGGACCAAGGCTTCAGGAAAATGGCATTTTCTGAGTCACTATCCCAGCCATGAATCTGTAAGTCATCCAGCCAACCTGAGCCTTGATTTTTTGCCCAGGTGCTATTGGCAAACGATGATATCTGGATGAGATGGAAAGAGGTCGGACCCTGGAAAGCTGTGGATAGCAGAAGGATAAAAAAAGTGAAATGAAAGCAAAAAGCAAGAGAAAATAGGGGGAAATGAAAACCAGAGAGATCTAGGAAAAAAGAACCCAATGGCTGAAAAACAAAATTCCTGAGAAATTTGCCTGTGCTGGGGCATCTGGCTCCCTTGCAACTTCTAAAATAGAAGAAGAGGGCTGGAGACAAGATGGTCCAGGCCCTTAAGGCTATGCGCAGTATGATTTTATCCGGACCTCTTACACCCATTGCTGAGAGTTGCCAGTTACTCTTACCGTGCTCATTGTCACCACCTGGGATGAAAACTGCTAGCAACAGATGCAGCAAAAGTGGCATTTGAGCAGGAGATAGAACTTCTGACTCGAACTAAGAGCTGGTATTTGATCTGTGAATTCAGCAAACCTTTTTCTCAATACATTATAGTGACTTCCTCTTTCTTCCAACTGACAAATCCCCATTGCACATTAGAAAAAAACTGTGCCTCCACAGCCCTGGCCCTCCCACTTTGCCTCTCATTTCCACTCCAGCTCTTGACTTTCAGATTATTTTTCTTAATTCCCTGGCTTCCAACTATTCATCCTGACATCAGATTTTCTTATAATACCTTAAAAAGGCCCCTATATGGTTTTGAGAGTTTATTTTAACTCATCAGTCTTATATCATAACATCTGCTAAATAATAAAGTAATAAACAATCACCTCCTTTAATCTAGGATAATTTTTTTGATTTACCCACTCATCTCAACCTTCCTTCTCATGGCACTCTCTTCCCTGGCATTCTTTCCAATATCATCAATGGCTCCACCTTCTGATCTCATCCCCTTTGACAGTCTCCCTAATCCCACATTCTTATTTCTGTGTGTGTGTGTGTGTGCGCGCGCACTGATAATCACTTACAAAAGGCAAAGCATTTAAAACCTGTCCCTGGACTATAGCACTGCAGACCAAAATCCCAAAATCAAATAAGATAAATACTTTAGTTTATAATCCAAGAAAAGTTATCTTATGCCATAGCAATTTTCAAAAAGAAAAAATTGCTACTAGTAGATGACCTTCTTTTCAGTAGCTCTTGACCTTAGGAAGTTTGAGTAACAAAATTTTTATGAGACAGCCAGAATTTTAGAAGTTATGTGTAGCTTCAGGCTAAGTCAAAGATAACATTTTTCTGTTTGGTTTTGTATTATTTTTCTAAGCACAAAAACATTAATTTATTTATTTTTATTTTTTCTTTAAAAAATTTTTAGTAATCCCTTTCCCTTTTTCACTCAGTTCCCCCAAACCTCTTCCCCTCTAAAAGCTGTTGGTCTGTTCTCTGTATCTATGAATCTGTTTATATTTTATTTATTTCATTCATTTGATTACAAATATAAGTGAGATTATATGGTATTTGACTTTAACTAGCTTATTTCATTTTGCATAATGATGTTCCAAAAGGTAAGATCTTTTTTATGGCTTTGTGATATTCCATTCTATAAATACACCACAGTTTTCTTGTTTTGTTTTGCTTTTTATCCACTCATCTATTGATGGGCACTTGGGCTGCTTCTAAATCTTGGCTATTGTAAATAATGCTTCAGTAAACATAGGGGTACATATATACTTTTGCATTAGTGTTTCAGAAGTCTTTGGATATATTTCCAGAAGTGGAATCACTGGGTGATTCATAAGGCAGTTTCATTTTGAGGAAAATATGTACTGCTTTCCACAGTGTCTGTACCAATATGATTACAACCAACAGTTCATGGGGGTTCCCTTCTCTTCGCATCCTTCCCAACACTTGTTGTTTGTTGATTTATTGATGGTAGCCATTTTGACAGGTGTGAGTTGATATCTCATGGTGGCTTTAATATGCATTTCTCTGATAATTAGTGAAGTTAACATCTTTGCATATGTCTATTGGCCATCTTCATGTCCTCTTTGGAAAAGTGTCTCTTTAGGTTGTTTGCCCATATTAACTGGGTTATTTTTAGTGTTGACTTGTAAGGATTCTTTATAAATCTTGAATATTTACCACATGTTAGATGCATCTGGCAAGTATGTTCTCCCATTTTGGTTATTTTTCATTTTGTTCATGGTTTTCTATGGTGTCCAAAACCTTTTTAGTTTGATGTAGCCCTATATCTTTTTTGTTGTTGATGTTTTATTTTCTTTACCTGAATTTATTTATCAAAAAAATTACTACAAGAAATGTGTGAGATGTTACTATGTTTTCTTCTAGGATTCTAGGATTTCAAGTCTAACATTTAAGACTTCAATATGTGTTGAATGTTGAATTCATCCTTCTATACATGTAAGAAGTTGGTCTAGTTTCATTTTTTGCATGCATCTGTCTAAATTTTCTCAATGGCATTTAGTGAATAGGCTGTCTTGACCCCATTGTATGTTCTTGCCTTCTTGTCAAATGTCAACTGACTATAAAAGTGCGGGTTTATTTCTGGGCTCTCTATTCTGATCCACTGATCTATATGTCTGTTTTTATTCTAGTACCATGCTCTTTTGATTACTTTGGCCTTGTAGTAAGTTTGGGATCAGATGGCACAATTCTTCCAACTTTGTTCTTTATCAAGATTGCTGTTACTATTCATGGTCTTTCATGGTTCCTTGTAAAAATTTGGGATATTTATTCTAGTTCTATGAAATATGCCATTGGTGTTTTGATCAGTACTGCTTTTAGTCTATAGATTGCTTTGGGTAGTATGAACATTTTAATGATATTAACTCTTCCTATCCACAAATATGGTATACATTTCTACTTACTTCTATATTCTTCAATTTCTTCTGTGTCATAATTTTCTGAGTACAGATCTTTTATATCCTTGGTTAAAATTATTTCTAAATTTTTTATGCAATTGTAAATGATATTGCTTTCCTAGTTTCCTTTTATGCTAGTTCATTATTGGTTTTTAAAATGAAACTGGTTCCTGAATTTTATTTTCTATCTTGCTACTTTACTGAATTTATTTATGAGTTATAGTAGTTTTTCAGTAGAGTTTTTTAGGTTTTCTATATACAGTACCAAGTAATCTGAAAATAAAGACAGTTTGAGGACTTCCACCAAGATGGAGGCATAGGTGGATATACGTGCCTTCTCACACAACCAAGTTTAGAGACAACTAAATATTAGCAACAGAAAACACAGCCAGAACACAGAAAATTGAACTTTTCAGAAGTCTGTTAACAACAAATTCTTTCAGTCTGACCAGTAAGGGGTGAAACCAGCAGCTGGTAGAGCAGGGTTGCACAGGAAAACTCGGTCAGACGAACTCAGGAGCACAGAATCCAGGTGCAGGGTTGGACCTAGTGAGCGACCAAGCAAGCGACCACGGGGAAACAACAAGGGGGCAGGGCTGCGGCTTGACTGTGGTCGCCCATTTGTGCACGGATAGACAAGCGAGGGAATGGGCAATTGGACCAGGACCCAGCGGGTCCCTGCGGCAAGCGGCAGGGAGGGCACCGCCATTTCCCTGCTCTGACCCCATCTCTGCATACAGCATCATAACCCAGCAACTCGGAGTGGGCCGGCCCTGGTGAACCACCCAAGGTTCTGCTCCTCACCCAGCGGTGCAAAACAGCAGAGGGTGCCGCCATTTCCCCGCTCTGACCACCCCCACATACAGCGTCACAACCCAGCAACCCGGTAGTCCAAGGCTCTGCTCCTCACACTTAAAGGGGCGAACAGACCAAAAATGGCTCAAGGAGATCTCAAAGCCCCAGAGCCTATAAATCTAAGCAATAAAGAAATAGCAAAACACTCAGATGCACAGTTTAAAACACTGGTGATCAGGATCCTCACAGAACTGGTTGATTATAGCCACAAATTAGACAATTATATGAAGGCTAAACTAATTGAAATGAATGGAATTGCACAGGAAACCAATAGCAATGAAAAGGAAACTGGGACTCAAATCAATGGAGTGGACCAGAAGAAAGCAAATAATGGCCAAACAGAAAAGAGTCAAGAAGCAAGAATTTAAAGAAATGAGGAGAGTCTTAGGAACCTCCAGGACATCTTTAAACGCTCCAACATCCGAATTATAGGGGTACCAGAAGGGGGAAAGGCACAGCCACCAGTGGAAAACTTATTTGAACAAATAATAAAGGAGAATTTCCCCAATCTGGCAAAGGAAATAGACTTCCAGGAAATCCAGGAAGCTCAGAGAGTCCCAAAGAAGTCAGACCCAAGAAGGAACACACCAAGGCACATCATAATTACATTTGCCAAAATTAAAATCAAGGAGAGAATCCTAGAAGCAGCAAGAGCTAAGGGCACAGTCACCTACAAAGGAGTTCCCATCAGACTGTCAGCTGATTTCTCAAAAGAGACCTTACAGGCAAGAAGGGGCTGGAAAGAGCTATTCCAAGTCATGAAATCCAAAGACCTACAACCAAGATTGCTCTATCCAGCAAAACTTTCATTTAGAATGGAAGGACAGATAAAGTGCTTCTCAGATAAGATCAAATTCAAGGAGTTCATCATCACCAAGCCCTTATTATATGAAATGTTAAAGGGACTTATCTAAAAAAAAGAAGTTAAAGAAACATGAACAGTGAAAGGACAGCAAACTAACAGTTATTAATAACCACACCTAAAACAAAAGCAAACTAAAAGGACAGCTAGATCAGGAGTGGAAACATAGAAATGAAAATCTCAAGGAGCGTTAGCAACAGGGGAGTGGGAGGAGGAGAAGGGGGGAGAAGGTACAGAAAATAAGTAGCATAGACAGTAGATAGAAAATAGATGGGGGGGCAAGAATAGCATGGGAAATATAGAATCTAAAGGACTTGAGACACATGGACATAAACTAAAGGGGGGTAATGGTGGGGACGGGGGGTAGGGTGGAGGGAAATGAAGGGGGGAATAGAACAACTGTAACAGCATAATCAATAAAAACATTTAAAAAAAGAAAATAATGACAGTTTTACTTTTTCCTTTCAAACTTAATGCATTTTACTTATTCTTTTTATCTGATTACTCTGGCTAGGACTTCCAATACTATACTGAATAAAGTGGTAGAAGCAAACACATCAGTCTTATTCCTGATATTAAAGGAACTGCTTTTGATATTTCTTTGAGTATGATGTTGGCACTGGGTGAGCCTATAATACACTTATTACGTGTTTTGTTTTCTATTATCACTTCACTGAAAGTTTTTTCATAAAGGAGTCCTGCATTTTATCAAATGCTTTATCTGCATCCATTGGTATGATTATGTGGGTTTTATCCTTCATTCAAATTGTAGTTTATAGATATCACATCAAACCTGTACCCCCCAAAAAAATTCCACTTGATCATGGTGGATGATATTACAAAGTATTGCTGGTTCCAGTTTGCTAATATTTTGTTGATGATTTTAGCATTTATGTTCATCAGGCATATTGGCTTATAATTATTTACTTTATAGTTTCTATCTTG